CCCGAAGGCTTTTTTGCTGGATACCAGCTGTGGCACAGGATGCACCACTGCCCCGGGATGCTCTCCTGCTCCCTGAAGCACATATATGCTGGACCAGATGGCTGCAACCCAGTTGCCCCAGAGAACTTCCCTCTGGACTTCACTGGCAGGAGGGGGGGTGGTCTTTACATTTTGTTCCCTCCCGAACCTGGGCAGTGGCCAGGCAGGGTGACCCCAGCTGCTACCGGTAGTAATTCCAGTTACTGTCCTTTTGCTTTGCAGGTTCCCATCGTCTGCACCAAGGAGGGTTTATGGACAGAGGAGTTCAAACTGTGCAAGAGCTTACGGGGCACCTGCCCGCCGCCCCCCGAGCTGAATTTTGTGGAGTACAAGTGCGAGCATGGGCACAGCATAGGTGAGGGCAGACGAAAGCTAAACAGAAAAACAAACCTTGTGTTGACTCAGCCCTTTCAGAGAGCTGAAGATCATGATGACTCTTCTTCTTGTACCAATCCCCACTAAATCTGTGAAAAAAAAATCCTGTTTTCTCTTCTATCCTCTTTTTAAATATAAAGCCAGGGGTAGCTTTAGCCTTGTGCATGCCCTGGTTGTATTCATGGGTGAGACTCAAAGCTAAAGCTGGTTCCAGTGTAAGCATGTCTCTTTTCAGAAGGAGCAGAGACTCACCTCTAGGGCAAACCCAGCCCTTTGCAGTAATTTTCCTAATCTCTAGCCCTCCAACCCCCCTGAGGTCTTTCCACTTGTTACCACTGCTGATGGGTGCAGGGTTAATGTGGCAGGCCCTAGATAAAAGCCACAGTGACAATTGTGTGTAACAGGGCACTTTCACCAGATGAGGGACCACATCATCCACTTCTTTCTCCAGGGCTTGGTCGCTTTGTGCTTTCAGGAAAAGCTGCAATGCTCCATCAGAGTTGTTGCATCCAGTCTGGCATCCCACTGGACAGGGGACTTGAGCAAAGCCCGTATCACTCTGAAGCAAACGCACCAGTCGTCTGGGTCTGGTCAAAACAGGCTGAGGTGACTCTAAGGGCAGGGCCTGTTAAGATTAAGCTTTGGACAGACCTGATTTGAAGCTGGGGTTAGGACTGGGATCTGCCTGCTTTTCCAAGGTGGTTTTTGCAGCTTTTTTGTCTTCCCGAGTTATGGGAAGCCAGTGGGAATTCAGCATGGTAGAAAAACTATGAAAATGCTTCCTAACCTGTCAACAAATGTCCCATAGCATCTAGGCCAGACTTATTTTCATGCTGGATCTCATGCTCTGCCATCACAGCTTGAATCTATCTCTTAGGGTGCGTTCAATTTTCCTTTCATCTGGGAGAAGGGAATTGGCAACCACTGCTGTAGGCTCTCACATAGTTCAGGATTTGAGGAAGGAGTTGTTGGGAGGGAAAGGGTCTCCTCTATGTCTGCCTCTACCCTTAGTGAGGAGCCTACACATTTGGGTCTGGTGGCCTCCTGCAAAACATTACTGCCTGGTTCCTCAAGGGTCTCTCCTCCGGCAGGTGCTGTGTGCGTACCTTCCTGTGTCATACCTCCGAGCGACCCCGTCATACTGCCTGAAAATGTAACCGCTGAGACCATGGATCACCGCCTGCAGCCCACCAGAGTCCAGGTAAACAGGAAGACGGATTCCTCTAGCAAGCGGCCCACTGGCAGCATAGAGGAGAGCCTCCCTCCTCTCTATCCGGTGTTTTTTACCAAAAATCTCTTTGTTTTGGGTGAAGAAGGGTAAGGCTTGGAAAGACAAACAGCATAAGTGAGCTTGAGGCTGGCCATCTCCAAGGAGCTGCCCATGGTGTGTGCTCTGGAGGTACCTTCTGCTATACCATAACCAGATTCCAGTGCCAAGGCCTTCCTCCCTCCCACCACTTCCTCCTCTTCTTCCCTCCCACCACTTCTTCCTCCTCGTCCTTCCCCTGCAGACGCTACTGCACAACCTCCTGCTCTCCCAAACCAAAGTTCAGTGTAAGTTATCAGCTCCCGAGCCAGCTTTCAAGGACTTGCAGGATACCAGAGTGAATGAAGTTAAATACAGCAATCCCACTGATTTTTCAGGACTGCTAAGCTGCTGTAATTGTCAGCTGGTGTGCTGGGAGAGCAAAAGCTGGCCCTGGCACAGCACGAGTCTGGGTCCCCGATTACCTGGCAGCAAAAACGCGACCCTGGGCAGGCATCTTGCTGCCAGGGAGGAGTCAGGGTGAACGTCAGCTGAACGGTGTCTGGCTGCCAGGGCCCGCTGGCCGGCCGGTTGCCGCTGCTGCTGGAACGGGGCAGCCTTTCCCTCCCCATCTCTTTCTGTAAGTCAAATAGCTCAAATAGTTTGGATCCTCATGGCACGACTTTCCCAAAAAGCAGCTCCGCTGGGGTAATATTTCTTAAAATAAAAATGAGATGCATAAGGAAGGAGGTGGAACAAAGAAAAGCAAACAATCTTCTTGGGAGCCAGTCCTCCCATCCAAACACTTTCCCCTCCTCCTGGGAACCCGCAGGAGGCCCAGCATCGTGCCTGTGGATACTACTGTGCGTCGCCTTGAATCAGACCCACAACGGATCGCTGCCGGGGGGTGAGGAAGCCCGGGACGTGTGGGATGGTTAAGCACGAGCCTTGGAAGGAGTCCTCGCCTTTGAGGGATCGGGTGGCTTGGCCCATCGAGGCGGTGGTGTTCGGCTTCCCTTTTGCCGCTGCTGCGGGCTCTCGTGCGAGGGAGGCATTTTGCAATGAGGAGGAGGAGGGAAGGGAGGTGTTATTTTAAGAAGCGGCGCTCCCCCTTGCCAGGAGCTCTCTCTCTCTGGACCATCTTGTTTTCCTCTCTGCTCTGGCTCCTGCTTCTGCTCCCCACATTGCTCCTCCAAGCCTCAAACAGCTCGCCGTTCCCGGGAGGTGCTGTGCTCCTGAGGTGGCAGAGAGGATGGGGTGAACCACACAGGGAGCTGCAGAGGCCACTTGGGGAGGGCACGGTCCTGTTTTGCTGTCAGCTCTGATTCATTATATCCTGCAGCTGAGCAGGTTTGTCTCTCTGCCCTTATTTCCCAGCCTGAAATATGAGTGTACAAATATGAGTATGTTAAAATGCTATTTAAGTTGCACAACAGCATATGACCCAGCCCAGTAAGGTAAGGCTACAAACACAATTTGGGTTGAGTAGGAAGCAGCAGCTCAGCCACCATTCTCAGCCTCTGCTGCATCTTACAGCAGCTCCTCTGCCTTCCCTGTGCTGGCCAAGGGTGGCCAGGACCTCATCCTGCCCCGTCCTGGCTTTGACTGAATGTGCAGCAAAGGGACCTGCAGCAAGTCTGCGTGGGCAGAGCCGTGCCACCTGGGAATGCTGAAGCTGGTCTGCCTGCTGCTGCGTGTTTCAAATGGGAGTGCTAGGAAAAAACGTACATGCTTCTGTGTGCAACTCCTGTGCTGTGAAGGGGCATCCTAGGACACTTTCACAAGCCAGCCATTGTTTTATGGGGCCTCAGATTTCAAAGTCTGCCTGAGCTTTACAAGGAGGAAATTGCATGTGTGGTGGGGCTTTTCTTCCCCCTGTGTAATCATGAGTGCTCCCCACAAACCCCCACTCAACAAGCGGGGCAACTCGTTCCAGCACCGTGAAACCGAGCCCTTCACATCTCGCTCTTGTGTCCAGTTGGCTGCAACAGCTGAGTTTGTGCCTTGTAAATACCAGCAACAACCTCAGCCCTGTGTGAGTGAACATTAGTCTGGTGTCTCTGCTTCAGGCCAGGGCCGGGGACGGGGGGGGTGACCCTGTTCTCAAAGCCTGAGCAGGGCTCAATCAGCAAATTGATGCAGGTGCTGAGTGGTGACAGGCTGAGCCCCCCACCCTGTACAAGTGAGAGGCTGGTGAATCCAGCATCGTGCAGAGAGGTGATGGCAGCCCCAGCCTGTTGTGGCCCCAGGTGGCTTCCTCCCAGCAGCAGCTTATGGCCAGTCAGTCACCGTGAGGCAGCATTGCTAGCCAAACCCCCTTCTCTGGTGGTCCCTGCCGTCTCCCTTTGTCCTCTCTTGATTGCATATCTATATATTACTTCATGCACATGTCTGTCTAGCCTCTGCCTTGAGCAATGCACCCTGGTTTGTGGGTTAACCAGGTGCGGCTATCCTGGGTTTGATGAGCTTCAAAGGGTTTCCCACTGGGCAGAGGCGCAGGGAGGGTCCTGGGAGTGCTACTGCTGGTCTTATCACTGCAATGAGCAGTGCCAGCATCGTGGGAGACACTCCACTTCTGATGGAGTGGAGCCCTCCACTGGCCGATGCCCTCCCTCTGCCGCCTCCTCTAACAGCTCTTTTCTCCTTTCCTCCCCAGCAAATTGTGTGCACGGGCAGACTGCGGTGGTACCCAGACCCCTCCATCATTCACTGCATCCAGTCGTGCGAGGTAAGCAGCCCCTGCCCCCAGCACAAGCCGCCTGCTCCTTGTGGGAGAGCTCCTGGCAATGCCGACTCGCTCCAGGAAAGAGCTGATGGCTTTGACTTGGTGTTTGCTGCGAGCTGGGCCGGGGCTTGTTGAGCAGAGCATCCTTGGGTACGGTCCCTCGCAGCTGGGGCGATGCTGGGGAACGAGAGGTGCTGAATAACCCATTTCCTTCCGTCTTGGCCAGCCCGGGAAGAATGTTCTAGCAAAAGGATTTCACTGGCAAGGGGTATCCCCAAAAAGCCTGTGGTGACTCCAAGCCTGAATATTTCCTTAACCAGAACCGCAGTTCTAGAGTAACACGGGTCCAGAAAAGCCCTGCATGACTCCCACATCCAACCAAAACAACTGGGATTTCCAGCCTCGTACATGCAAAACAAACCGCTCCTGAAGAATCTGCAGACAAAGAATTCCTTGCAGAAATCGGTTAGCTGCCCATTTCGTTTTGAATAATGACCAGGTGGGAGAAAATCACAGGCAGCCTGGAGTCAGTTCGCAAAGGAAATTAAAAATAGGCAGTCTTTGTCCAGCACTAGTTGTTATTATGATTGAGGATAAAAGGAAAAAGGGGGGATATTTTGGAACGTTGTGTGCTGAGAATTTGGGATTTTTACCAGAAAGGGAAATGTAAATGAAGTTTGCACACCAAAAATAGCTTTGGGTTTTGCTGATTATTTTTTTCATATGCTCATTTCAATGCAAATGATTGCTTTTGCTCACCGATTCCGCCTAGCTCAGCTCTTTGTCGGCTGAAGTGTGGGAGAAAGGGCGATGCTGCAGGGGGCACGTCCCCAGGAAGGAAATGCTGTGGTGGACAGAAGATGCAGCAGTTATTTCCCCAACTTGATGGCTGTGTTGTGCATCTCTAGTGCAAGGCACGGTCTGCGCATGTAGGGGAGTGAGGTGCTGTGTGTTAAAGAGGTGTTTGATGGTTGAGTACCAGAGCTTAGCAATGGATCCTCTGGCAGTTTAGGAGCTCCAGTACTTCCTAAGCAACATCTCTTAGCTCAGCTCTGAGGTAGTGTATTTGAAATAGCATGGTATTATGCGGAAGAGGAGTTCGGATGGTTGTGGTGGTCCTATCTGTGGTTCTCCTGCTAGCAAGGGAGAACCCCTCTCTGTGCTCTCTGGGAGTTGGTCCTGCCAAAAAAGAAACAGATGGGGTGTGATGTTCGGCTTCTTCCCTTTCAGTGCAGCTCAGGTGAGAGAAAGCCAACTCAGGAGTGAGGATGCTCCCTTAGGCTCAGGTACACCAGACTAATCTCGGCCTTTCCTCCCCTATGGTTCCTGCACCTCACCTTGGGTCTTTGTCTTCAGCAAGAGGTCCCATAGGGTATGATGAAAAATGCCAGCTATTTGTGTGTGTGTGTGTGTGTGTGAGAGAGAGAGAGAGGGACCAACTACCTGAAGTCCCAGCATCTCACAGTAACAGTCACTGTCTTTTCACTGGTCACCTAAACATGCTCACAGCCAACATGACCTCTTTCTGGTCCTGGATGCTTGTTACCCCCTTTAACTCTTAGAAAGCAATTCTAGAGAGCAGTTGTACCATGAAGGAGGTTAAGCAAGCCAAAATCACAGAATCCCAGAACGTCAGGGATTGGAAGGGACCTCCAAAGCTCATCCAGTCCAATCCCCCTGCCGGAGCAGGAACACCAGATGAGGTTGCACAGGAAGGCGTCCAGGCGGGTTTTGAATGTCTGCAGAGAAGGAGACTCCACAACCTCTCTGGGCAGCCTGGGCCAGGGCTCTGTCACCCTCACTGAGAAGAAGTTTCTTCTCCAATTTCAGTGGAACCTCCTGTGTTCCAGTTTGTGTCCGTTACCCCTTGTCCTATCATTGTTTGTCACCGAGAAGAGCCTGGCTCCATCCTCGTGACACTCACCCTTTAAATATTTATAAACATTAATGAGGTCTCCCCTCAGTCTCCTCTTCTTGTAGTGTCCTAACAGGAGTTGGAAAGTCCACGCTCTTCAATCACCCTTGTAGACTTTTTAATGTCTTTTCTGCTTTCAATTAATCTTACATCAGGAATGACCAAGCAGTACATACTCTTCTAGCTGAGGTCTCACCAAAGTCCTGCACAAAGCCTCCTCATGCTGGAAATGTCTCTTTTGATAGGACCCAGGACTATATCTGCTCTTTCTGCAGTTGCATCTGTCTGGCAGCTCAGAGGTATCCTGAGGTCAACAAGTACACCCAGATCTTTCTCTGCTTCCTTTGTTTCCAACTGATGAGCTCCGAGCTAACAGCAGATGTTTTACCATCAGTACGAGAGCTTGCCCTTCAGTTTTATACAAGCGAATGTCATCCTGTTTCTCTCTCTAGTCCTTCAGGTCATCTAACTAATTGTCAGATATCCTGATCCTCCCCTGTAGAACAATGTCTTCTTCCTCGTTAGCAATTTTGTCAGTGCAGGCCTATTTTTAAGGTCACAGTCACTCACTGTAATACTAATGAAGAACTATCCTCAGATAGTTTTTCACCCTGATACTCTCCTTTTTGATACAGCTCGCAGCCACCTCCTCCCTATTCCCCTCCTCCTCACTTCTCACATACGTGTCTGGTTATTCTTTTCACTGGGTTTTTCTCTATGATACTGCAGGTTGTTAAGGTTGGACTGATAAGCCAAGTCTTCCTAGGTAACATTTTTTTCATGTGTCTTATAGTAGTTGCTGTCTTGCCATAAAGAATAACTCTTAGCGAAAGTGTCTCATTCAAAATACTGCTCCAGGAGCTGCAACTCAGCACTAGGAAGAAGGGAGGTGTTACCAGTCCCCTCATTCGACTGCAAAAAATGCCCTGAATGCTTTTTCCTCTTCATCTGTGCTGGCTTCCACCCTCATTCCTATTCCTCTCCTGCTTCCATCCTTGTGAACAAAAACACTGCAGTTCTCCGAGGCCGTTTCACTTGGAAGCTAATCTCTTGTGGGATGGAGAGACATCACACAGTGAGAGTCAAGTGGAACTGTAATATAACCTGCAATCTGTCCTTGCTGCGTGATGTACCCCCACCACGTCTCCTTTTCTTGTTCTCCCCCTCATTTACCTGCACAAGAGATGTTCTGCCCCGCAGAGCATAGCCCCTGCTGGGTTCGCTGTGGTTCAGTTTGACTTGCTATGTCTACGGGATACCTTAGTCCCAGGTTCCTCCTCATTTCACAATAATCCCTCACTGGAGGCACCTCCTTTAGGAGCCCAGCCTCTACTCTCCACTAGGCAGTGAAATGCTGTTCCAGTGGACTGTCCAGGTCACCTCAGGTCTGTGTTACCCCTCGGAGATGCCGTTGTCGCCTCATTGACTGCCAAGCACGTGTTGGATGAGGAAGCTTTATCATCTGGACACCTCAGTGAGGGGAACAACCCTACGTAAGAGAAATCCAGACCTCCTGGCTGCTCATACCATCTCTCCCTGGTAGAGTCACTTGGGTTGGGGCATGGCAGCAGTAGCCAAGCTTCAACCTCCCCAGCCTCAGCTGGAGCCCTGCCTCACATTGGAGGCGTTCAGGTCATCACACAGTGGTGTTAAAGGGTTCTCACTCATCTTTTTCATACTCTGGTGGCGGATCAGCCTGCCTGCTCATCCGTCTCGCTCCTCTCTCCACCTCCCTTCTCTTTCTATTAATCTGATCATCCATCTGCCTCCTGGTTTCTTGCTGCATGCTGCCAAATTCCCCATCCCAGGAGCACAGATGCACATAGTTCAGTGGGTGAGGGAGGGAGGGACGTGAATCCTTCCAGCAGCCCGTCAGGAATACGAGTTAGCACTGAGCGTGCTTCACCTCTCGAGGGCCAGTGGAACATCTCATCCCCTGCCATCAGCAGAAAAACAGACGGCAGCAGCACCAGTTTCGGGGGGAGGAAAGAGGAGAAGGCTTGGGGCTGGGTGGAGAGGGAAGTGGAGGAGAGGAAACCCTCCTTTCCACCCTGGTTTGGGAAGAGGCAGTCATGGTCCTGGTGCTGTGCTCAGCTGCTGGGAAGGAGGTGTTTGCAGCATCTGGGGCAGGTTCTCCCGAGCCATCCTGAGGTGACCAGCTCTCAGTTATCCCCCTCCTGTGCCCAAGAGCAAGGGAGGCTGTTGACTTCAGAGGAGGAGGCAGAGCATGTACAGTGATCTAGGCTGCTCCCTTAGACTATTCCTGCCATGATCCAAAATAGTCCATGCATGAGTGTGGCCCAAACTGACTGCTATAGAGCGTCTTGTAGTCCGTGCAGCTCACCAGCTCTGCACCCCTCTCTCTCCCAACATTGGGCACCACACTGACCTTGCCTCCACCTCCAGCTCTGTTTCGAGCACCCCTCTCTCTCCCAACATTGGGCACCACGCTGTCCTTGCTTCCACCTCCAGCTCTGTTTTGTCATTGTGTGTGGGTAGTAAACGGTTAATTGCAAGGGTTTTAAGGCAGACCACCAGCAGGCTGAGCAAGGGTTTTAAGGCAGACCACCAGCAGGCAGAGCTTCATGCTGGTAAGGTAGGGCTTGGACAAGAGCTACTACAGCTATGGTCTGCCTTGTAGGGTAGCAGTTCCCTCCTGATGTGACTCAGTGCCTTCTCTGGTTGAGCAGCCCTGCCTGCCTGCTGGGGGAACACGCAGAGATGTTGGCTTGAGGTCTCTGCTTCATGCCTTGGGTGAAAATGGGCCGTATCAGAAAGCTGTTGTGAACATGAGCTGCTGGGAATTTCTCAGGTCTTTCCCGCATGAGGACAAGGTCTCGCTGCCCTTGCGCGTGCTGCTGGTCATGTTATCATGATCGTAAAATGCTAATCTGTTCCCTATTTTGTGGTTTTCCTGAGGTATTACAATGGAAATGATGAGATAGGGCTTGAAGTGTGTTTGTGGTTGCGCGTTGTTCTCCAGTCTCTTGATCCAGCAGGTAGTCAAGGACCCCAATAGATCCTTGGCTCTTCCCACCAGCATGCACGAAACCCTTGCTCGGCACGTCTGTGGCTTGTGTCCAGCATT